TCGGGAATGAATGGCGAGCAACCGTAGAACCCCATGAACTCGAAAAGATCCTTGGTATACCTCGGTGGGACGGCGAAGAACGCGACCGGGAAGAAAAACGAGGCGTCGTATACGGGCTCGTAGTCACCGGCATGGGCGAGGGGGGTATCTTGCCAGTCGAAAGTACCGCTCTTCCAGGGACGGGAAGGTTGAAGCTTACGGGGAGCTTGGGGGACGTGATTAAGGAAAGTGGGGAGATCGCGTTGAGTTGGGTGAAGACGCATGCTTTTGAGCTAGGGATCACAGCTGGAAGGGGGGTTGATCCGCTCAAGGTTCCGGATGTGATTGATGTGCACTTACACTTACCTGCTGGGGCGCAGAAGAAAGATGGGCCGAGTGCAGGGATTGCTATGGTGCGTTTTTTGTGTAGTTTTTTTTGAGGGGAACGAATTGATAGGTAACTAGATATGCGCATTTGTGTCTCTTTTGAGCGGGGCATGTGTTCCGAAGGATATTGCTATGACAGGAGAGGTGTGTGCCCTGATACACAATAAAGCACATTCTGATTCTGATTTCTGTCTAGATCACACTTCGCGGGCGCGTGACGCCCGTAGGCGGAATTCGAATGAAAGTGCTCGGTGCGCACCGCGCACAGATCCGCAAGGTGATCTTACCGTGGGCGAACCGTAAAGACGTGGAACATGATGTGGCTTTGGAAGTTCGTCGGGAGATGCAATTTTTCTTTGTGAGGACTATCGACGAGGCTCTTGAAGCTGCGTTTGGGCGTGGTGCGTTGGGATGGAGGAAAGAGACTGTTTTGTTGGAGAGCAGACTTTGATGTGGTTTCTTCATGGATCGCTTTGTGTATCATTCATCTCGTCGCTTTCTTTCAATCTTATTGCTATGTATGTACTCCTTATATTCAATCTTGTATTACACAAAAATTCATGAACGATGCCCCGGTTCTGATTACTCGAAGGAATGATAACTAACTAATTGTGGAATAGAAAGAGGATTCGATAAGGGATACAAAGGACAGGGCGCAAACCCGCTTATGTAGAGAGACTCCTACTTGCAACACCTCCACCAACAAGGGCTTTTGAGTTCGTCGGAGAAAAAAAAGAACAACACTAGTAAGACCGTCTTCTATTACATGCAGATGCAAAAATGATATCCATGTGCCTCCTTCAGATGGCGATTGAACTGACGGGTGAAGAAATCAAAGTGACAGAGAATGAGAGAATGAGAGATAGATCGCGTGCAACAGGATGAGATGTGTATTAGCGGGGGAGGGGGGTGTCTATGCAGTCGCGCGTTTGATCATCTGTGTGGAAGATTAGTGTTCTTGGAGATGAAGAGGGGAGGTGAAGATACTCACTTCACGGGCCCATCGCAGCGTCTTCTTCGTTTCTTGCTGCATACCGCGCTTGCTACGGAATTCATGTGCGATCCATTCCTCTAGCAGGTGTTCTTTGATCTGACCGTTGCAGAAACAGTCTGCGAGGTCGCCGATGAGGCCAAAGGAGAGTTTCACAATGGAGTCGGTTCTCTCCTCGTCTGCTAAACATTGGTGGACGAGCTCGAGGATGCTGGGCACGTGAGGGAGTAGTGCGGGCGCTAGGGACGATTGTAAGCGGTAACACTAATCTACAAGAAAAACGCAAACCTTTCTCTGTGTTCTTGAACCCAGTGACAACCCCGGTGTATGCTTCTAGAATTCCTTCCCGTAGTTGAGCAACATAGTCCATGAGATCAAAGTCAAGCTAACGAGCATTAGTTGGCATCGAACACGTTCAGAGATTGATAAACCAACTCACAGGGTTAGGTTGCACGGAGCCCGCTTGTCTCAGCACGTCCATAGTCGTATTCAGATAAGGATCAAAAGCAGGACCAATAGCAAGCGCGATATCGCCAAAGCAAGATAATATTGATATCTTGACATTGCGGTTAAGAACGTTACTCTGCAGGTTCTCGAGTAAAACATTCATGAATGCGCCTGCGTACTGGGCGCTCTGATCGCCAAGTGCACGTGAAATATCCCCGATGATGCCAACGGCGACCATGCACAGCTGGGTATCTTCATGTGCTTTGAGGGCGGGATACAGGAATGGCAGGAATGCTTGAATGTATGGTGCAAATCCGGCTTCCAGTGCTGGCAAAGAACCTCAATATTAGGGTGGGCCTGATCGGAGGGGAAACGTACCGGCAGCTAGCGATCCAACAACCAAGAAAGCGTCTTCAAGCACTGTTGACGTCTTTCCTGCTCCTTGGATCAGCTGGAGAACGAGGGTCATGATTCGATCTGCCATTGGTTGAATGCCTCCGCTGAGCCTCCGAATAACGCTCTGTCGATGTATGAGCTATAGCGCGAAAGAACGTATATGATGGCTTACGATGACAACGCTGCAGAGATTGCTCTGTAGCTCGTTCCAATTATTACGGTCATCAACGCCAACGATTTGGTTCTAAAATGGACATGAGATAGAAAGAAAATTATGAAGTGAGGAAACGCACCTGCATGTTTAGAAGTTGCTCCATTCTCTGCAAAATCGCAATGACGGTGTTTTGCACTACAGGAATACAGTCTGTAGTTGAATGGGAGACATATGACGTGATGGCTTCATATGCAGAAGTTCGGAAGTTTGATTCGTTTGCAGTCCTGTGAAACAAGATCAGATTAAAGGTCACGTGAACAAAAAAGTAACGGACGTTTCAGTGACCCGCAGAAGGGCGCTTACTATCCCCTCAAAATATGGTGAGAGCGGGCTTTCAGATGCGGAGGTGATGTATTCGTCGAGGTAAATTCCGATCTGATCAGCGAGGTTCATGAGTGCCCAACAGCAGTTGGTCACGATGCGCGGGCGATCCGAAAGACCGTTGACGAGCGCCGAAATCAGAGGATGAAGATGCACATCGGGCTTGATTGTTATAATTAGAAGATCACAGATTCGTCCGAGCGTCCATGCTGTTGTATCTTTCACATGGAGATTCTCATCGTTCATCATGCCGATCAGGAGGGGAAGCGCCTGGTTGACGAGAGGGGTGAGAACTTGGGGATCAGGACCGTCCAGTATAGAACCAAACGTCATTACAGCTGCTTCGCGCTGGTGCCAGTCTTGAGCCTTAATGTGTGCCTCGATGAAGGGGATGACAGCGGGAACAATTGCATCTGCAACAGCTTGAGCCATGTAGTTTAGGCAAGTGCCGGCGCTCATGGCAAGGTTCCATTCGCCTTCGTCGGCGTCTTCTTCTTGTTGCGTCAGGAGGTTAAGAAGAACCGGAATTACTTCCGGCAGGGCAACCTTGGCAAAATGCTTAGACTCTAGTTCGGGCGGCTCATCGTATTCGGCAGCCTGCAAAATACCGTGATTAGTGTGAATAGCAGATGATCATGCCGCGTACCTCTCGTGCCTCGTGGGCAAGCTCAATCTCTTCCTCACACACAGTGGTCCAGAACTCCACAGCTTGCAGCGCGACCCGTTCATCAGAGTGCTTCATGCCCATCACAGTAAGCTGGAAAATATGTTCTGTCAGGAGGACTCGGGGCAGGATAAACAAGTAGTCGTACGCCAAATAAGGCCTGTTCCATATAAAATGCCATCTTGTCATAGTACAGTGCCATAATCTTGACTAAACACTCGAAAGCGCCGACTTGGACTGATACTGACGGGTTCTGGGTAGCTTCGCAGACAACTTGCATGATGTAGTTTCGCTCTCCCTGATGCGCGTTAGTAGAGCAAAGGCCAAAAAAACGATATAACAGTACTTCTCGGTCGAAATTGTCCCGTACAAACTCCAGGGAGTTAAATAGCGCGTGGACCGCAGCAAGCTGTACTTCCGATGAGGGCTCCTCCTTGCGAGCACCATGAATTACAGCCGTCAAAATCTCGTTCGACCTCAATGCCAAAACCTCTGGTTTCTATGATGCGAGATGAGGACAGAGTAGTTGAGTGGCACAAAGTAAACGTACTATAGTTTCACAGATATAACCAATAGCTTGTAAAGTGGCGATCTTCAAGTTCGTGTCATCAGACGTGTTGATAAAACCGAGAAGGATTTCAACGAGATCTGGCCATTGGCCGACGGGTAACTCTACGGCTGCGATCGCAGAAACGACTTGGGCAGCCACTGCACCTGCTCTTGGTTGAGGAGATGCAAGAGTTAAGAGGGATGCCTCCTTGATCTTTTGTCTAGCATCGACATCGAGGGCCATCCATCTTGCAGAGTACTCGTCTTGCCTTGTTGAATCCTATGCACGATGTTTAAAGATCATGAAAGTTCACTAAGAACGCGTTCACGTACACGGGCGGAGAGAGCATTTTTAAGTGCAAGACCAGCAGCATTGCGGGTATGAATTTGAGAATTCTCGTTGCGGAGTTCATCTGATAACATCAACATATACACCGGCTGTGAAAAGTCTGAGCATGCTAAAGGCTAATGAACAAAAGGGATATTGAATATACGTAGTTCTCCCTAGAAGCACTCTCAAGTTGCTGAGTAGCAGTTTGACGCGTTGCAGCATCTTTGAAGGGCAGATATTAGCTTGAAATATACAGTCATGAAAATTGAAAAGTGACTTACCTGGAGATAGGGTATTAGCAAGGAGTGCGCTGGCGTTCATGATTGAAGAATCGTTGCAGCGTGACAGTCGTTGATATTTAAAGAGAGATGGTTTGCGATTTTGCAAGAGGGAGATCAGTTAAAGCGTCGTTGGTGCCAGGAGAAGTAGCAATGAATTGGATCAAGAGTAGTCGAAACGATGAAGAAACCCTTCGACTCAACAAACAAGCGGCTTTTCAATTTTTGTGTTTCCTTGTCTTGCTGCCAACAGCAGCCTGCAACAGCCTTGCAAGCAAGTAACCTTGTGCACAACTCGCTCAATTAATGGCAGATCGCGTACGATTCAATGTCCCAATCACTTCATTTGCTAAAAAATCTAATTCAATCACAGGGTCGTGCTCCAGCTAGAGGTGGTCGTGGAGGTGCTCCACCTCGAGGTAGACCAATTCCAGCTTCATCTGATGTCAAGTGAGTCGCCCCAGAACCCTTATCCGAGTGGCTCCTCATGTTGGAAAGACTCAAGTAAAGGCAAGCGGGAGGCTATCCTCGACCTGTCCAAGTACGTCAATGAGAGAATAAGGGTCAAATTCACTGGCGGTAGAGAAGGTAACTAGTCGATCAACATAATCGATCATCACCTCATCGGTTTTTTTTATTTTTTTTATTCAGTGACAGGGATCCTGAAGGGTTACGATCAATTGCTGAATCTCGTTCTTGACGGGGTCGAGGAACAAGTTAATGGTGCTGCCATCAGAACTCCTCTTTCAGAGTACACACTGCTGACAGTTGACCCCCAGAGCCTGAACCTCAAACCCGCTTGCTGAACCTCGTAGTCCTTCGGGGACCAACCATTACCCTCCTCAGTCCCGTCGACGGCTCAGAGGAGATTGCAAACCCCTTTGTAGCTCAGGAGTAGACGGTGCCATTCCTCTTCAATAGTCCATGTATCCGTCTACTTCAAGTTATGTACAACTAAATGTGACCGCTCGTTGCCCGACTATATTTCGAGAGCAAATAATCCTGAACTATGGTGTAAGGTCAAATCGAGGTGCAAGTAAGTACGTCTCTCCGCATTATCGATCGATGCGAGCCTAGCGCTATCTCAAAGCAACATCAGGTGTCAGGTCCGTCGTCGCCGGGTCCGCACGAATGCGTCTCAAGCGAGGAGCAACCATCTTGAACGTGTTGTATCGTGAAAAGTCATCAACCGCATGTTGCTGGTGCAGCAGAGTAGGTGAAGGAGATGGTGAGCAACTTCCGGATGTCGGCGAAGATGAGTCACTTCCAGGCCCGCATACCATGCCCATACGTCCGTGCATGCTATTGCGCAGCGGCGAATGTGGTGGCGACCCCGGAAGATGTCGTGGCATGAATTGAACGCGGGAGGTGATCGTAGCAGTGGAGGGTGTGTGTGAATGTGAATGGGTGAACGGCGCTTGGGAGATCGATGAGGGTGAAACGTTCCTGGAGATATCAATTGTAGCGGCATTGTTGACGGTCTGATCAAGATAGTTTCGCATGTAAAATGGCACATTAGATGACAAGTGAGATGGTGCGGGTGCGGGTGCGGGTAAGGGGTAAGGGGGAAAGCGCGGCTGCGTGCCCGTGGTTTCATAAAATACAGTGTTTGTCGAAGCAGAGGTGTCTGGAACATGCAAGCGAGAGGGTTGTGACGTAGATATTGATGATCCGAATGTAGGAGTATATGCAATGGATGTGGCGGAGGGCCAGGAAAAACGATTAGACTTGCCATTTGGAGGGCCAGAGTGTGAACGACGGATGAGCTCAGCCTTGTAAGCAATTAGGGTGATCTCGTTCGATGGAACCGCATTTTTGTCGCTGGGACGCGAGGATCTCGAGGGCACTCTACCTCGGATGCTAGGTCCGTCAGCAGACGTTGCGGGTTCGATAAAGGACGTAGATGCTAAGGGAGTTGCACGTGATCCTTCAGTGAAGGACTGAACAGATTGGACTTCATCGGACTCTGTAACATCTGATCGACGCTCTTCATCGCTGAGGAGATCGAAATGTTCAGGAGATGACGTTGGCTTCCCAGCCTCCCGCGCCATTGTCGAAGACGTTGCCAATGCCAAGCCTTGGTCAAGCTGATCCTCAAATATGGCGTGGTGGGCAGGCGGAGCCTCTGGTGGGGGCGGGCTAGTCCACTGGGTCCTTCTTGGAGCCATGTGCTCGGGTGGGGTACGAGATGGAACACAATTATCGCCCGAATGTCTATTTTCAGGCTCAAAGAACTCAGGTTGGGGTGAAAGTCGCCCAGCGGATGCCCCCTTTGGCCTCATGGAGTTGCTACCAACAGTGTATGGTGTCTGGGGAGGAATGGACAGGCGAGGCGGGACGAAGACGGACGGAGGTGAAGTTGTTTGTGGGTCTTCCCCTTTTTCTTCACATAGTTGAGCAAGTGCGACAGAAGCGCGAGGGCGCATTGCAAGGATCCTAGATGCGCGCATGAATTCTCCACGAATCTAGCGCAATTGATAAGTAAGGTTACGATAGACTGCAAGGCTAGCATACCAGGTAAAGTCCTTCTTTTGTTACGCATCGGGCAACGTTGAAGTCGATCTCAAACGGATCCTATGATTCAGAGGACTTGAGCCAATCGTTAGACAAGGGCCACTATTCGCGTACCTCTATACAGAACCGATTTCGCTCTCTGGAGTCATTATATCGGCCGGCTGCCAGCTGCATGGCTCGTTAACACGTAAAATGACGCAAAGATGCTAAGCTACTTGCCTCGTTTTGCCATCCCTTGCTGTCTTTCTTCAGTAGGCCTCCCCGAATGGAAGCAACACCTGTATTGTAGGTAAAATCACGAGAATAATATCGGAAGAAATCAATCAACCTGTTTATAGATAAAATCAAACTCTAAACCACGAAGCGACCGAGCAATGACTCACAAATCAGCCACACTATCAGTATTAGATGATTGCCATCGCTGGCGTAGAAGTTCTATGTCGTCAAAAAACCTGCAACGTGAAGTTATGAACACCTCGCTGGTGATGATAATCAAGAAGACCGACCAAGTATTATGCCCCCCAATGTGGGTGTCCTCCTGTAACCGACCGATATCAGGAGAGATATATAAGAATAAATTTACATACCTGAGAAATTGGTCGTAAGGGAGGCATTTGCTGTAAATTTGGTAGCACAGGCGGATTCTTCACATGTATGAGGAAATATATGACAAGTAAAACGTAGCCGTAGGATGATAGTGTTCCCTGGTACGGAGAGTTGATGTTTCTGCTTGACATGATAAGAATATGTGAAAGTATCAGATATCTTGATATCCCTACCTCCGCTTGCTCCACACTTTGACTAGCGCAGAGCCGTTGAATCATCGAAGAATGTTGATAATCCGTGATTAAACTCACGGAAGAGAACTAGTGTCCGCACACGTGTGGGATCGATCATAGCGTAGCACATGAGCAGCCTTGTATTCTCCAGGGCGAGTCTATTCTCAAATCCGATATCGCAAGCGATACCATGTGGTAGTCCAGGAGATGGATCTAAGGAGAGCTTGACGATTGGTATACGTGCATGAGGTAGCGGTTTGACGTGAAACTTGGTTTCTGGTAACACGGTAAATGAACATCGACACGTAATTCCAATGCCAACTAACCGCGTTCTAGGAGGTCGCCGAGCATCGTAACCATGTCGGATGCAGACAGACGCTCGGCGGAATCGATGAGGCAGCATAGATCCATGTCTATATCAAACTGTAGCCTGTAGGAGGAAGAGACAAGCTATTCCAAGCTCACCTGAGTTGCGAAGGCTAAAGCCGTTTGCGGTGCTTCCGAATGATAGTAGGCGGCTGTCAGGTTCGATTGTGCGAATCAGCCTCTCAAGGAGTTTCCTGACATCTTCCTTCACAGCCATCTCTTCTTGCGCTGGAAGAAGTCGGATTACGAAGTCGAAAAGAGCTTGTGACAGCTCAACCACGAAGAAACGGTGTTTGGAAGCATGTCTCCGCTGGGAACTATAGGGACTAGACTGAACACTGGATGAACTCTGCGCCATGCTGGAAATAGAAAGCTGTAAGCTTGCGCAACTGCTCTGGTGGGCAACAGAGACAAGCCCTTGATGCCTAGGGAGATGGGAATTGCTTCCACAACAATTGACCTTGAGGAACGTGCCAATGGGGTCAGCAACTTTCCAAAGGGTCTGCCCAAATGAGGAAGCTAACTTCAATTCTCAGCATCCGAGCTTGCCGCTTCAAACCTATACACCAAAATCATCATATTGGCTATGACACTAACTATGAACCTCAATATTTATGGAACAAGGTAAGTGGAATTATGATAGACGGCTATGATCAACCGGGCACGGTTGAAGTGGACAGAGATATCATCTTCATGTCACAGTTTCTTCGACCTTCAAAAGTACTTTCTTCCCATACATCCCTTGACCTAAGCGTGCTGCAAGGTCACGAATCTTGGCAGACGCACTGTCGTCACTCTCCGTCCCGCCAATCGTCAAAACTTCATAGTCAGGGCCCTGAAGCTGGATAATCTAGATGAGATGGAATACGAGTATCATTCAAGATCCGTACCTTCCCCTCTCGCATGAGTGCAGTCAACGTCTTGAGCAGTTCCTGTCGTTTTTCTAAGGATTTATCACTATACCAACGGCTTTGCCAAAAACCATGGCAAGCAAGGTTCTTGAAAATAAAGAGCGACGTTGGAAGTGAAAGAGGTTCCTTGGACATCGCCCCGTATGAAACAAGATGCGCATTGTTCCCAAGTAGGCGAGCCATGAGGGTAGTCGTATTGCCGCTAACGCAGTTGAGACCAAGGCGGATATCCTACATAATGCTACTCAGTCTGTCGAATGGGAAGATGAAGTAGGTGATACCTTGCCTCCGGTCCACGTTTTGACCTTCGCTCTCAAGGACTTCTCGGTGAGTTCGTCATATGCCACAACGTGCGTTGCACCCAGTAGTTTCAGATGTTGTTTCAGCAGTTCAACGCCATCTCTTTAGTTGATTGAGACAGGCCCGTAAGTGTGGTAAATATGACACACCGGTCACGAATGAAGTTGATAGTCTTGTATCCCTTGGCAGCTGCGATTTGAATCACGGCTTGGCCAACCTAAGAAACAGACTGAGGTAAGGGTTGCTGCCAGCGCACGAACGAAACCCCGTACATACGGCACTGTTCGCACCATTTTGCACGATCCAATCTCCTTTTACAAGTTGAGCAAAGTCATGCAGCATGTTGTAAGCTGTTGGCGGGTTGACCTTCACCAACGTCAGAATTGAAGTGATCAAGATATCTAAGTGACAATGAGACGTACGGTAATCGTAGCAGCTTGTGCCTCAGACAGATCTTGCTTGGGAACCTTTAGGACATCCGACAAGGCAACATTCTTCGCTGACGACCATGTTCCGCTCTGAGCTTTGGTCATAACAACCCAGTCATCCTTCTGCAGGCCGACAACACCCTCACCGACATCTATCACTTTGCCCAGGCCCTCATTTCCCCCCACGAATAGTGGGTGATCCTTGGCCTGGGAGAGGAAAACATCAGGCTCTGGTTTCATGGGGTAAACACCCTCAATAACGTTTATGTCTGCGGGATTGATGGGTGCAAGCAAAAACCTTATGTTTACAGTATCTGGCGGCGGGGGCGGCAGTTCGGGGAAGGAGAATGCAGATAGGACGCGAGCTGGGTCACCATTGGTATTGTAGACGATAGCTCGATTGCCTGCCATTATCGATGACGTTGAGAAAGTATTGTTTGCCATGTTACTTTGTAATCGCCATGCGTGTTGCAACTGGCGAGGCCGTTGCAAGCTTGCAAGTGCTTTGGTACATGAGTGAACTGAACTCATCGTGTACTACGCAACCGTGATTTTCCCTTAATTAGATTAGGGAGTTCGGAGTTGTGATATGGTGACAACAGGGCAAACCATGCTCATCATCGTCGAGATCAGACAGATGAAACTACCAACGCAGTAAAGTAATACGATGTACCGCAATGAAATCATAATTTTTGTATTTTTCGCGTCTTTTTCAGATTCTACCTATTTTTGCATATTAAAGATCGACGATCATTGCGATGCCCGAGCTAGATCACTAAATAGGTGTTAGACATAATGAGAACGAGACGAGACAATGAAGTCTTACCCAAAAGCAGCATCGATGCAGGCCTTCACATCTTTGTAGCTCACAACAAGACAGCTTTGTTCATCGCGGGAAACGAGCATAATACGCTCGTCTGTGCCGGCGTCGAGCTAGGAAGAGCGTGAATGTTTTTTCCAAGCAAATGAACAAAGAGTACCTTATTCAAACAAGCTAAGACATGCGAAAGATTGATGACTGGGTTACCGTTCTCGTCCACTTGATGAAAGACGTAGTCTCGGAATAGCCTGATGATGTATCTGTCGCCTGTTTCGGACCAGCGAGGCTCACGGGCAAACCTAAAATCAAAGGTTGAGAAGTCCTGCTTAAATTGAGCAGTGGTAAACGCACACAGGTCGTTCATTAATAAAACCAAATTTGCAAAGAAGGCGAATCAGGCGCCCATTTTCGAGTTCACTCATGAGCTCAGCTTCAAGCCTATTGACGGAACTAAGTTGCAGCATGAGTACCAGCACCAGCATACATCTACTTTCGTTTACCTGTGCATATCGTCCCTTTCGTGGAGTAATCGATTTGTTCCGATCATGTCGATTACTTGTGTGATATTCTGAAAAAACTATTAGACACTGGCTATACCGATAATGAGGACAACCTTGTGTGGACCGGGTTTAGATATCAGATAAAGAGCAAGAGCCTTCACATCAGCAGAGTACAGGCGACCTATCATGTCAAGTGCTTTAGGAAGTGTGTTCATAGCTGCAAGATTATTACAGCAGAGAGCAAACACAAGATGGCCAAACATTGCGAGGTCGTCTTGTTGGGCGATCGCAGGGTCTTGGCGGGGATCGTACATCAGAACGTCTACAATGCCACAGGAACCAATGCGAATTCTACGCGCAGACATAAGATAGTCAGATACGAGGTGAAAGGAACACACCTGTTCTTGCCAGTGACTATGATTTTGGTTGCGTCAACCATGCGTACTGCCAGGCCCGCTTCATGCACTACTTTGATGGCGCTAGCAATTTGGATCATGTACGACCATAAAGTCGCCTCAGGTAATGCTGACGAGAAGGCTGAAAGGCGGCCATGCTGAAATACCAGCGGCTTCTGTTTGATGTGCATTTCAAAGAGAGTCTGAGCATTCGGATAGTATTCATACGCAACCACCAAAGCTAGTTTACGTTTGTCAGAGCAAGCGAAGTTGAATAAGGATCCAACGTACAATTGTCGTTGAATGCACGAGTAGTAAATGCTTCGCGGACACGAACAATACTTGGATGCTCAATGCGTGACCACGTTTCGATAGCTCCAAACGCAGCTTGGTGCATCAACCTGAAATCTGCACAAGTCAACAATGCGGAGTAAATACTAGAGATATAACAAACTTTCGACGCGACGAAGAGCATATGATACACCATCGTTGGAACTAGTTGCACGATAGACAGTAGAGTACCAACTGAAAAACTTGCGTCGCTCTGTGACAGCAGGTTCAAGGAGAGATAGGGAATGATACCCCTGAAGTTCGTCAGGTAGATTATGTCCAGGTAGTGGGATCAGCTGCGAGGCTTCCGAACGTTTGTGCAGCTCCTCGCGAATTGCATCAGAGACAAAATGCGTCGAGGGAAAGGCATCCGGAGTAGGGTGCGAGTAGAGATGATAATCCAACTACAAGAAATGTATCACATCCCTCCATGCAGATTGGCAAGAGAAGCTTACAGGTTGCCTTACAAACGTAGCCTGTTGAGATTGATAGAAATTGCCCATCGGTGAGGCATGGTCGTCATAATCCACCTGAAGTAGATATAAGCGTAGTGAAAGCATATAAGGATATATTCGCACAAGCTGATACTGATCAATTAATTGATGCTCCAATGTTTGAGGTGTCTGATTGGAAACAGCGTCACCATAATCATCGTATTCGGCGTGATTTGGATAAAAGGTTGAAGGCGAAGGACTACACAAATCTTAGTAGTCGTAGGGTAATGCATAGAGGTCTTACGAAGGAGTGAATGATGACGCCGAAGTCGGAGAAGGAGATGCAATGGCGTGAAAAGGCGCTTTTGGCACAAACACGGGAGCGTTGACGGCCTGCGCAGAAAGTGAAACAGGAAGAGGTGATTCTGGACCTGGTCTAGAGAGATCATGAGTCGAGGCAGTCAAGGACCGAAAACCCTTCGTACGGATTGTTTGAACCTTCAACCTGAAGAACCTTGTGAGGCGGTATACTATCAACTACTTTGGACTGCACATACCGCTGGATGATAATAGATACAACCTTTGTCTTGATAACGACAAGATCTGTGTGACGCATTAAAATACTACATTGTCGCTGAAGAGCTGATTTTACCCATAAATCAATATATTCCTACATTGACGCTGAGGAGAATCTGATGAACCGGGTCAAATTGTGCATGGATATATTTGCGTCAATTGAAGGTGCTACCTCTCTTGGCCTGAAATTTAGCCTTATCATCATGTTCTGCCGGATTGACAATCTTGATGGCGGAACTTGAGGACTGTGGCCTTGGGCTTGAGAAATAGGCCATAGGAACCTCCAGGTTGCTGCCGCCAGGTGATGTTTGTCAATCAACGGGATCTGAGCGCTCGGCTGCAAGCAGCGCCAAGCCACCTTCGCGGGGTTAGGGTTATGACATATGTATGACTTCAAATCCAATAGGATAATAATACGTAGATACATCCACAACAAGTTATTCAATTTTGAACTTTTTACATTCTATCTTATGATTCCCATTCCTCTTCCCGATTGGTTCAGATTGCACTGATGACATAGCTGGAGATGGACTACGCTTGCGCTTGATGCAATCCTTATGTCCCTCATATCTGGTGCGTTGCTTTGCGAACATAGCCTTGATACCGTCTCTGCGTGTTGCAACAGGCTGGATAAAGGCGGGAGACTCGGCACCAACTTTTCCGACGTCCTTTGGAACTTGATAGCTGCAGATAACCATAGTCATCAGCCCCCGAGATACAATCAAGGAAAGAAAGAGCACACCATATTAGACCCTCAGTCGGCTGTAACAGTTTGCCAAGTTCAGCGGACCAAGCATTCGAGCTTGTATCAAGCCACCTAGTGACGTCGGCGTCGGATATAAGAATGACAGGTTGGCGGTCGTGCAGCCAACTAAGTGACGGGCTGGCGTTCGTTGTAATTATAGCAAAAACGTAGTTTGGGATAGTTTCATCTTCGAGCCGTCAGTATTATGGGCGGGCAGTGTCCGCTGGTAATCGATGATGCGCACCTGAGACGTGATAGAGTCCAGCCATAAGCATTACCTTCCCATCGGCATGTTTCGTGAAGTGTGGGAGCTTGGAATTGCCCTTTGTCTGCCATTCGTAGTATCTGATAAAGGATTAGTTCCAGAACCATCTCAAATGCAAACTCGAATAAACGCGCACCCCTGGCTAACAACAACACAGCGATTGCTGCTTCTGTATTTTTTCCACATTCCTGCGCCTTCCATGATGTTTTCCGAGCGTGCATTGATGGCTTGTTGACCTTTTGCATGAACCCTACCATAAGGGATGCCCCATCGCATGGTCTGCATTTGAAGGTCGAGTGAAGAAGCATTACGCCTGCGAATGACGGGCGCCTGAGAGTTTGGTGCAATGTTGTAACGGGGCTGTAATTCAGGAAGCATCCTATGGTTTGCCTTCATGGGTGTTGAGAACAGAACTCACCACGAAATTGCCTTCGTTCACCCATTCGCCAATTTCAATGTTGGAGTATCCAGGTAAAGCGCGTATTTCAGCACGCTAGTTATGTTATGTAAAAAACTGGCAGCTGAAGCAGGTTATGATAGAAACTGACCTGTAGACCTAGGGCATATCGTCCACACATGGTTGGTAGTTTAAAGGAAAACTTGCATAGGGGCTGGGCTTGGTCAGCATCTAAAGACTCCGAGTGAGAATACTTAGGATTTAACTTCAGGTACATACTGCGTACTAATTAATCACCAGCTGCCAGGCTACCATGGATCGACTAGCACCACATTCAGATCCACCAAGTTCATCGTCATTTTCGGCCGCTGCATTTCAGGGTAAAGCTGCGGATTCATCAGACAAGTCAATACAACCCCCTGCCAACTGTAACTTGGTACACAAGTTCTCTGCTTTCAACAAGTTCATTTTATACGAGAACAAACTGCGCTTCTATATTGTCGCCTCTAATGCTTCTGACTCGCGCCACCGGATTGTCAAGATTGACCGCACCTCGCAAACTGACGTTGCCGTTGTCGAGGACGACACCGACTATAGCGGCAAGCAAATGAGCAACATGCTCAAGATGCTGGAGGATGGTAACAAGGGATCTGGCGGGCTAGGCAAGGCCCGCGTAATCTTTGGTATAGCAGGTACGCTGCACCATTGTGTTTGTCGTAAGTTGCTGACCAGACCAAGGATTCGTGAAGTTCACCGCTGGGTGGTACATGATCGTCATATCAAAGCGTTCTGTTGTGGCACTTCTTGGTGGCCACTATTTGTACCATTGCGAGAATACGGAGATGATACCCGTTTCATCCAATCACAAGATTGACCGTCCTGCTGAAGAGCAGCGCCTTGTGAATATGTTCAAGCAAGTTGACATGTCGAAAAACTTTTACTTCAGGTGGGCAATATTCAAGTGTGAGAGCTATTCTAATGAGTGCCATCATGCCTCAATCCAGTTACTCATACGATATCACTTCTACGCTTCAAAATAACCTCACAAAGCCCAAGCGTTTCAATGGTAGCAGATGGCCCTTCAATGATCGATACGTTTGGAATTTTCACATGATCGCTGCACCTCTCAAGGATTCCCCCGCTGGCGTCCGTCGTCCATGGCTATTGCCACTCATACATGGACATGTAGACCAGGCTAGTAAGTGCATCGGCCCTTTGCGCTATTCGCATCGTGATGCTCAATACGCCACCAGAACTTACTGTACTTGGGCGTGTAGTCTTTGTAACGCTTATTGCCCGTCGGTCGCGCCATTATGCTGGAGCTCGATATTTGACCCGCGGTGTTAATGAAGAGGTACGGACACAGTATAATAAATCATGTTTTCCCTCAGACATTTACCAGGGAAATGTCGCAAATGAGGTTGAGACCGAGCAAATTGTATCAGAAGCACTAACGACACCGTTTTACTTTCCTCCCGCCGGTCCCTCAACAAGCGCATATCAACGTCGACCCAGCCCTCAGTACACCAGCTACGTTCAGGTACGGGCCGACGTATCATGCTATCTATTATAGTTTTACACCAGGCACATCTTAGTACAGGGGCAGCATTCCAATATATTGGACGCAGGAAACGACCAGCATGACTCCCCGACCGCCTATTGAAAGTACGTCCATTACGACCATCAACTTACCCTTATCTTGACCCATCCCAAGTCAGCGTTGTAGATCCCTTCTATGTCGCTGCATCTCGTCATTTTGATAATCTTTTCGCACGATATGGCGCGCCAATCACAATCCTCAACCTCATCAAACGGCGGGAGCCGCAGCCACGCGAATCAAAGTTGCTGGATGAGTATACTCAATGTGTCAAATATTTGAACCAGTTTCTGCCAGATGAATACAAGATGGTTTATCGGGCTTGGGACATGTCACGGGCATACAAAGAGTACGACCTTCATCCAATTTTGGCGCTGCTCTGTCTCAATATGGCTGTAGGAAGACACAGGATGTTATAAGTTACCTCGAAGACATAGCGGAGGTATCCATCCAAATGACTGGTTTCTTTCATTCTGGTGCGGAACCACTTGCTCATTGTCTCCATAATGGCAACTTGTGTGTATTGCACTCGTCTTTTCAAATGTCATATTGACTTTGTCATTCCCAGTGAAGAGAATGAACATCTCCGTCGTTCCATCTTACTGCAGAATGGTGTATGCCGTACAAATTGTGTCGACTGCCTGGATCGTACGAATGCAGCACAATTTGTTTTCGGGAAGCGTGCTCTGGGCCACCAGTTATATGCCCTCGGTGTTGTCGCTAGTCCGAACCTCCCATTCGATTCAGATGCAGTGAACATGTTAACTGAAATGTATCATGACCATGGAGATAGTTGAGTTTGTCGTATAACTTGTGTCAGCTATGGCTGACATTTGGTTTAGCCATCGCGCTGCAGTATACTGGCAGTGCACTTGTGAATCGGGTAGAGACATATCGCAGGATGCCTCACTGGAACAGTCACTCGAGGGACATCATAGAAAACATCCGCCGTTTTTATGCCAACTCTCTTCTTGGTACCTGCTTGTCTTGTACTCGTCCACCCATAAGTGACAAGTTCCTCTAGACGCAGACAAACAAGCGGCAATAAATTTATTTCTTGGCGTGGCAGCTGAACGCAGCTTGGTACTTCCTCCGAAACGCGGTCAGTACCAGAAATGGTTCCAGAAGCGGCATCTCCAGGTGTTGTATGACATGATGGAGTGCTCGTCAGCGTTGTGCGAATTTGTCAACGTAGGCGGAGAGTTTTGGGCGGAGTACTACCGACCGCTCTTATTTACATCGCTAGGAAAGCATTTTGCGTACTCTATGAATAGTACGTTGAAGCTACCAGGGTAAGGACTGCTGTACAGTAACAAAATTCTTGCTAATTTGTCTGACATCATGCACAGGAAGACTCTGAAAGACATTGCTTACAGTCCGTTTCTCCCTCACAGCACTCATCCAACACACCATCCACGGTGCGTATTCGACTTAGTCTATGATATATCATGCAAACTGTTTCCCAGGCTCATGGCTGGAGTTCGCCGTTGGATCGGTACATATCCTTCGTCTCAGCATGGGTTTTCCAAGAAGGCATTAAGTTCCAAACAAGAGGTGTTGAAATCAGACCTGCCTTCCACCGATGATCCTCGCTCATCAGCTGCGCTTGCCAAGAGGTTGTTACATCCAGACGTGCCAGTCGAGGAGCAAACAGAGTATCTGAAGTGAGTTTATCTGGGTTATAATAGAGACAGTAGCTAATCTTATTTTTAGATATGTTGATCAGTGTTTTGCTTTGCTAGAGGCATGCAATGATGAAGCAGAACCTGAAGACAAAGAGATTTATGAAAGATTTGTCAGAAAGTCAAAGGGTGTTATGGAGGAGGGGAATTCATGTGACATTTATGTTACCTATGTTAGAACCATAGAGGCTGAGGATGTAGGTACTTATGGAGAGGATTTAGTATCTACTTATGAACAATGGTTGGGGTAGATAATATTAGGATAACTTAGAGTAGGCTGCTGTCTGCTTTTGCTTTTGCTACTGCTGCAATGCAATGTTGAAAATCTCATAGATTGATTTCAATTCATTGTAATGCTTTGCAACAGTCCCAATATAATCAGTAATTAGCAAGAGATTTCTGTGGTGTCCTGGGCTTGTACCCACCACAGCTGGAGAGTAGATGGTCTATGAACAGCAACTGTAAAAAAGCCACATGATTAATTCAAACCCAGTACATCAACCTCTCCAGCAGTGGCTGGACAAAGCACATTGGGGATTCCAATATTGGAGACTAGTTTGAATGTCATGCAAAATGTTGAGATAATACTTAATGTTTAGGTTGTCATCTAAGCAGATGTAAAATTTCAAATGTTAAAGAGATCTTGCACAACAAGTGAAATGTAAAGTATCAGTGAACATTTTGTTACTGCCTGAATGTCAATGATAATAAGAAATATAAATATATTTTCATGTTAGCATAAACTTTGAAATGAAACTTCACATTTAAGACTCAAAAAAATTTCAACTATCACACATGACTGAACACCTGCTGATGCATGAAGTTTAGACTGTCGCTTAGATGAGTGTTAAAATTCAAAATACCCCCTGACAATAAAACATGAACATAAATCATCAAGTTTTATCTCCAGATAAAACTAATGGCCCAATAATCTTTCACTCATGGGTGAATTATCACTCACTTAAGTTTGAGATGCAAAATATTGTGCACAAATCCATGATACATGAATCTACTATACATAAATATAGTAGAGTAAAATAAAGCCTATTTGACAGTAGTCAGACACCAGTGATTTCTCAATGTGAATGTGTAATGGTGTCACTGCTTGGATAAACCGTTAAGTGATTGCCTCATTGTTACTCATATTGATACTGTCCTTTCTTGATACCTTTTGAACCACATTCCTTAACTTTTGTCCCTTACTAGTGATTGTATACACGTTCAGCTGAGTCCTCAGTTACACGATCCTTTCCTTTGTTTTTAACTCTCTGAGAGCACCTGATTTCGGACATAGACATTACTTTATATACAGCTCATAGCATTGTGTTACAATAGTGTAGTTTGAACCCTCAGAATTCAGACTTTGAAACTGTCATTTAGTTCATACACACTCTTCTCTATTGTGCTATTGTCTTTGAGCCTAACAAGCAAATTAGCCAGTGTCACATATTTTTGACATCCAAAAGTCTACTACTTTTTTGAAAAAAACCCTTTACTCAACTCATTGTTGACTCTGGCAATATTTGGTTAGGTCCACTGAATGCACCAATCAACAATCAGTTAACCATGCCTTCTCATTACACACTGCACTCTCAATACTCAGCTTCCCAAGCCAGCATTGAAGTTGCCCCTAATACCCGAAGTGAGTCATCCTTAACAACAGTTCCTACTAACCACCACACCTTGACAGTGGAGAAGTCAACTGACTCTCATGTTGATGGATCCATCCTTAAACCTGGCCACTCATTTAACAATGTGATACAGATGAGAGCAGACATACCTCAGTCTGGCACTGAGGTTGTGTCTGCTGGTGCTCTAAGCACTGAGGATACCCCTAGTAGCTATAAAACATCTATAGTCCCAAATCCTGTCACAAAAGTTTTGGATAACCCCTTTATTAGTTCAAGTGAATCATCTGATGAGTCTGAGGTGGACACATCTTGTAAGACAGTCAAATATAGCCATAAGAGGTTGAAGAGAGTGGCTAAGGTATCAGCAGTGGAAATTCCACTGCCTAAAGCTGACCTAGTTAAGGAAGCAGAGAAGCTCCTTACTGTGGAAGAAAAACAATGTATCCTTAAAAGGAGACACACCGAAATGAATGTGGATTCCCATAAAATGACTGAATCATCTTATGAGGAAGGGCCCTTCAACCTCAAAGGAAAGAGGGCAGATCCCTGGAACTGGGGAAATGTAAACTTGGATGAATCTAAGATATATATAGAGGCCCAGAAAGAGGCACTTGAGACCTGGACTCATACCCACCAATGGGCTAAGGGAGTTCAGCAAAAAGAACTGGTTAGTGAAGGCTCTGATAAGGAAAACAAGAACAAGCATAGTGTTAGTGATCCTTTAGCAGAGGCCATAAGGCTACTGAAGAACACATGACAAGGCTGTTTGAGAACCAAATTAAACAGTTAAAACATAAGCTTGAGAAGAGGGATGACCCACCCACCAAGAAGGTGAAAATCAAGACCTCCAAAAAGAAGAAATCCAAAAGGGCAGGAAAGGAGTTGAGAGGTGCTAACACTATTGAAGAAATGATCAAAAAAAATAAGGAGAAAACCCTCTAAATATGGGAAGAGATCAACCCCACCTGCTTTGGATGCAGCGGCCCAGATAGCCCTAAAAAGCTATGTGGGACACACATTGACACATATCCAGCTGAAAAAGAAGCATGGTCAAAAGTGAAATTACTGAAGACTCAACAAATTCAGAGTCAATGAGCTTGAGAATCAGAGTCACATGATAGTTTGAGTTTGTTGCCCAGTGAGAACTCAGATAGTCCTTCTTTGAGTGAGTCAAGTGACTTCTCAGAGAGCTCTGGTTTAACTGCTGATAAGTGGAAGAAACAGTCAAAGAAGCAAAAAATCAAAAACACAAAAAATCATCTAAGAAAAAGAGTACCCTGAAACCTATTCCTCCCTCCAAATATGATGGATCAGAGGACACAAGGGCATTTCATCAGTTCATTACTGAAGGTACTGCCTACTTGGAGGATGAGAATGTGGCACAAGATAGGTATGTTTTATATTGTCGAGATTTCTCAAGGGAAAAGCGCATGAGTTCTACTTAAGACAGGTGTCAGACAATCCGGGGCAATGGAGAGTGAAGGAATTCTGTACTGAGCTCTATAACTATTGCTTCTCATTGGACTACAGCACAAAGTAATAAAAGAAGCTTTACTGATGTTACCAAGGTGACAAGTGAGTGCAGGACTATCTGTCAGAACTCAACAAGTTATGGATGATGATAGGAAACATACTGGTGTAAAGAGTAAATCTCTGCTGGGCTCAGCAGAAATGGTACTACCTAGACAACAATATTTAGGTAGATCTTTTAGCATGCCCTATGCTGCTATACTTGCAGAGCAAGTGCATTCAATCCTAAAGGGATTGCTATATGGTATTAGTAGTATGAATGTGTCAGTAATGCAAACAATGAATGTCCGAAGCTATGAAACGATGTCTGAAGGTAATCCGAAGATGTCTAAGGGTACTTATCCGATGTCTGAAGCCAAATGTCACGAGTACCTTTAACAAACCATTATTCTTTCCTGAATCTTCCTAAGCATCAATACACAACGCCTAAGTCCAACCCTAACCCTACAGTAAAAGTGTCTACTAATTTGGAGATTCCCTTAGCGCCCACGACACGTGTCTTTGATGTGACTGATGAAGAAGACGAGTTCTTTGATTGTGAATAGATTAGATTAGATACGATAAGATAAGATATGGTCATGTGATGTTTCTTTAATATTCTACAATGTTCTATGGTACGATTCCCTTTTCCTTTTTATGATTGGCTAGTAGTTGTAGCTCAGTTTCAATCTCAGTTTCAATAGTTGTATATAGGTAGCACGTCTTGGTCGATAGTTCCTTAGTTCAAACCTCTTGTATCTACATCATTGTAGCAATCCAAGACGTCCTTGCTCATTCTCTTCGTTGTGATAACCTTAGTCCAAGTCCTAGTCTCTGCCCAGCGTTAATTCGTTATTGGGTTGTGACACCAAAGTGCAATGTATGAGATTTTGGACTTTTGGACTTCACGAATATAGGTTGGAAACTGTGTAATGAGCATTGGATTGCAAGTGGTGTGCACGAGTATAACAAGTGACAGAATATGATGGTGAATGAACGGTAATATTTCGCAAATCAATCAAGAACTACGAAAATATTCTGAAAGTGACCCAGCTACAGGTGGATCTATAAGTAAGAGTCACTACAGAGTATTTATCTATCTATGTAGGAATCTGGAATACCATAGGTGAAGGTAGTAGCGATAATTTTTGGGTCCGATGTCCTATGTAATAAGACACGAGGTACTGCGGACTATAAGAAAACATGTAATAACACTGTCTACACTGTTAGCAATGAAGATAAGACTAAGTATGCACCTAGTAGGGGCTAGCAGGATGTGACTGAACATAGGTGCGACAATATCCAATGATGTGCAATGATGTCTGATGCAATGTCTGATGGAAAGTGTGAAAGTCTGAAACTAAGTGCATTGGATCCGATGCGGAAAGGCTCGGAAATGTGTTGGACATGTTTAGAAATGATTCAGACATGTTGCGGATGATTTGGAATGAGTAGTGTTTGACATATGTGTTGAAAATGCTGGTTCCAAGCTCAGCGTGAGGACCATCATTACACTGGAAAGAGAAAAGGTTGTAAAATTCTGGTTCAGCCTGAACACAAACATACAGAATGAGATACAAAATGCGACTGAACCTGGGGATAACCTCACTGTTGAAGGTACAAAAAATCTGCCGAGATAATTGAGTTAGCCAACTTGGTGTCAGCTCCCTGAGCACACAAGGAAGGAAGCAAGAATAACAAAAAATCTGCAAAGGAGAAATGCAACAAAACAAGGGAGTTGGATAAGGCAACTCACCAGAACGGCAGATCCTCTAAGGATTGGGGTGGCCACCAGAAGTCTGGGAATTTGCAACATATCGCAAAAGGGCAAGGACAATCAGACCATTGTAGAGACTCACGTCTTACACACTTCCCTCTGAACTCTCCCACTTCCCTTACAAACTCCAGCTCTAATCCACAGGATACATCTAGTGCATTAGCGCACATGTTTCATTTTGCAGGTTTTGTGCGTGGCCTCCCGTGTTTGCATGCATCATGCATCCATACTCGCATTGTCCGCACACCCATTTGCCCATCCTTCCCATGTCCTTAGAAGTCCATTGGTGCATTTTCCCATCATATTTCCATTTCATTTAATTGTTTGCCATTGCTAATGCTCGGCTTTGCGCACAGCCGAGACCCTGTTACATACTTCGCGTACTATTTATAGCCTGTCTTTGAGGTTCACATTGGCATGTCGTTTGGGTGGAGAGGGGAACAAAGTTTAGATAGAATGGATTGCAACGATGTGTAATGTTTATACATGAGTGAAATTAAGTGATAGGGTTTTTGGGCAAAGGCGCACAGTGCCTCCTGGCCACGAAAGGACTTAGCCTAAGAGAAAAGACTGAGCTGCTATCCTGAAAGCTAGGAGTTTGACAACACATGCAATGAATATTGGGGAAACCCCATTCTTAGGAGGAGGAGGATGAGACTTACTGGCTGTTGATGAACGAGAGATTTCAACGAATGGGAGGTAGAGTATAATGCAAGAATTCCTTATGCAGTGCAGGAGTGGCTTGCATGTATGGTGCTAAAATCTGTGCATGACATTGTAGGTAGGCGAAGAAGGCGTTGCTTACCCATCTTCCTTTAACTTTGACGACGTCGAATGGAATGTTATGGAGTAGGTATTTGAGTGTTCTGCCGATACGAATTCCATGGCCTTGTAATGACTTGTGGCCTGCAGCTTTTGTTGCAGTGGCCAGTCTCTTGAGGAAATTCATTTTTGTTAAAGGTTGGTGGGCGTTCTTATGATGATACACGAATAGCATGTTGTGAGCTGGGGGTTCATTGATGCACAGATGATTCTGTAACACTTCTTCTGGGTCTGATGGGCCGTCTTGTTTGGCCCATGAAATGTCTTCGCCGTTGATTGAAGTTTTTGTGTGTGGGAGATGGAAATTTGTCATTCTTAAGCCTTGTCAGTCTTGAGTATCTTGAATATCAGAAGGCTTGACATGAAGCGCAGGGTCAAACACATTGAGACAGCGGACAGTGAACTCTCCGACACAGGCACATGTGAAAAAGATTGTTGTCAAGCAGGCAAAAATGGTGGCATTGAGGGGTTCACTGAGGTTAAGTTGATTCTAACGGTAATTTCACTATTCCCTCATTCAATGATATTAACTGGGAGAACCCAGCGCTCTACACTATGCCGCTTACCAATGAAGAGGACATGCCCACCGACTTGCTGCTCCTTCCAGCATTCATCGCCCATTCCTCACTCCCTGACTCTCCCACTCGCACACCATCACCCCACCCATCCGAAACCTCCACCCCTCATCAAACCTCACCAAGTGCCAACTGTGCCGGGCCACTTCGTGAGGGGAATTCATCCACCTGGGCAGCACACAATCCCACATGACCTGTTATTCGTCCTTGGATGCTACCACCTCGGCTGATGGGTGCACAAAAAGCATTGTAGAAGATCAAGAGGGACCAGAAGAGGGAGGCAACAAAATGCTTACATGATGGTATCTCCGAGTTCCTCAACGAGCAGAGGGTGAAAATAGAAATGCTCGCCTGAACTCACAATGTCACCCCGAAATATATCAATGACATCATTGGCATCCACATGAATTACCACAACTCCCGCAAGCCCTGGTTAATCAATGCGCTTATTCATGCGAAGGCAAAGGAGCTGAACGCCAGTAAGTCTTTTGATGTTTTCAATATGATATCACTGCTTATTCTATGTCATTCAGACAAACCTGCAGGGTCATGTTACACATTGGCTGAGCTCCGTGAGATTGTCACACATGACCCTCAAATGAAAGAATTGATGGAAGAAGAAAAGGCAGCTTACATAGAGGCCCTCAATGAACATTGCGCCAAGAAGGCACTTGGTGTTTGTGCAAATAATTCTGCGGCTGCACGAGATGTGCTAGCCACAACAGAAAGAATCGTGAAAGAGGTATGTTTTTTTTTAAAAAAAATATTGACTACATCTACCTACAACTAACCAAACTAAACTCGTACTAGCTGGACAACCTACGTGTTCAGACCGGCATCTATGCGACATTATTTGTCGTCCGTGGTCACATCAACAACACAATTCAAAGCACCATGCATGGCACCAACAATACAGAAGACTTTTGGGAAGATGTTTACGAGCATCTGATGGCAGATTTTCTGTGTCAATATGAACAAGGGGCGTGCACACAGAATCAGAGTAAGTCTATACATTATATATACTTGCTTAGCTGTCATTGAATGTTGTGCAGATCTTAATGAACGCAAGTCTTTGGAGACAACTACCATAACTACGAAACCACAATCGTCGAAACATATGGAGTGCGCCTTGTAGGATGGCCCCACGGGGTCAACTTCATTAGTTCTTCAAACATTGGAACAGTTGGCAACATTCAGAAGCTTTGAGATGCACTCAGGAGTCATACCTGCTACTGGACAGTCCTCATGTTGGCCGAAGTTAAATCCCATGCAGCTGAACTTGATGTGCGCCATTTAGCTGGTGAAACTGTTCGCAAGCCACACAAGAAGCGTTCAGACTCTGGAGTCCCTCGAAAGCGCAAGGCTCCAGCTGCAGGACAGGCTGGTCAGGAAAATCAGCAAGTGTCGAAGAAGGCAAAAAGAACTGGTCCACAGCTTCGCCAAGCTCCCAAGAGCTCTGAAGTTGTTGAGTCATCGGATGGACTTGAAGATGCTGAGTAGTAGTACTGGTCCATTGCCATAGTCTAGTTTATGGACAAAAATATGTGTTTTCAAGTGCATATATCGTTAAAATGCAGTGTTGATCCAATTACTTGAACATGAGATTTGCGAGCTCGTTGTGTCACACAGTGAGCTTGAAGTTTTGGATATTTTTAGCCAACGCGAGAAACACATCATGTCATTTGCCGATATGCCAACAGCAGTCATTCCTATAGTCCTGTTGCCATGTCAAGTCCCTCTTTATCCAGGAGATATTGAAGGAGGTGGTGATCCACTAAAACCACCTCACCTTAGAGGTGCAAGACCCATCTGCTATCACCTATAACAAGAGTATTTACGTGGGAATCACAGGTGTTCCCACATTATTCCCACACTCCGCATTTTTCACATTTTTGGCTACCTACTGTGGGAACTACCCCACAACACCCAAAACATCACCTAATATGGTACACCCCACAATTTTAATTATTCCCACACCCTCCACGCATCATTGCAGCTTCACCACCACACCACAATAGCTCCCCTTTTATATATAGGTAGTAGTTTAGTATATATATGTATAATAAAATATAATAGACTGCTTTTTTTTGTTTGTTTGTGTTAGTTGTGTGGTGACTTCACACTAGATAGGTCGAAGACTTCTAAGACTTCGAAGACTTGAAGGACACTTCAAGGACATTACTATATTAGTAGATAACTTCGAGGACTTCGAGGACACTTTGAGGACAGACCTCTAAGACACTTCGAGGACACATACCATACTAGGAATTGTTTATATTTGTTTACATAGACTCGCCCATAGTGCAGAGTTCACAAGTCTTACATGCTTTGTGCATTGACTTTGAACTCTCAGGTATAGTACTTTACTTATTTACACAATAATATCAAGTGCATTGACTTTGAACTCTCAGTTCTTCTAACAGTTTGTGTGACTGCTCCTCCTCCAGGGGCAATTCAACATAGGGTAGGGTACAAAACACTTTCGCATTTTTGCCCCTTTTGTGGGGAAGTGTTCTATGATATTTAGAACATGTTTATGAGCATATATGAGTAGATTCCCATCTTTATTTGAACCCCTGAAGCGTCCTACATCAATAGATATAGTACATATGCAAGAAAACACAGAATATGTTCTCATTTGATTATTTCTAGGTGGACAGACTTGAACAAATAATTCCCAGCATCTATTCAACAATAGGAACAATGTATCAGGAGCCCAGGACCATAGGATAATACCCTGTTGCATGGTGTGCCCCCCTCTTCTGGTGGTTTACCCCCTGTGAACATTTTTCCTGTATGACCGGACCTCAATTAAGGTGAGGCGTCCATTCCTATGTATATTTAGAGTAGATCTATCATATAGCTGGCCCAGGACACACATAGGATCCTTCTACAGAGACAACAATATAGAAATTCGCATTTTTCACATTTTTGATGTTTTTAACTGCCTTACTCTTGCATAAATGACCAGCCCTGCTCATATATAATCAGTAGAACATTCCCACATATTTTCTATGCCAAGTATCAGCCCTGCATAGGGCGCAAATTTGATATCTGATGTACAGGGGGTATTTCTACTGATACAAAGCCTACATAGTAATCAAGCCTGTGATAAGCAATCAAAGACCTGAGATACCTCTCATATATATCCCTTATGATGACTCCGAGATTTTAGAGAGATCCATGAAGGACTGACTGAATGACAAGTAAAATGACATATGTGTGAAAAGTGACAATTGCCATCTTTTTACACAAAGTCACATTTATATATGATACATGGTAGATTACTAAAGGAACCTATACTACATACTGCCCTGAGGCTGGAAGGTGGTGGAAGGGATGTGGTGTATATCTCAGTTGACCTAGCATTAAAGTCCTACCACTGCCAACAGAAAGTCTGGTTTTTCAACAGGCCGGTGTGTCAGGCCGGTGTTTCAACCAGTGGCAGAACGGCGGCAGCTCGGCAAAATCATGCGGGGCTTGAAACTTGGCATCAGCTAATGCGCACCAATATTGAACAGTTCAAGTTATCTTATCTTCCTCAGTCGCATCCGTGTCTGCTGCTCACCCCATTCATTTGCTTCTTAGGCCTTGTGTCGCATCCTCAACCTGCCCCTTCCAGTTTTGATGTGCCAAGTCAAAGTGCAGTGTGGCGAGTGCCCTGCACTCGTCATACCATTCATCTGTAAGACTGGTTTGCATATTGGACAGTGGGCTGCCCATGTAAGTAGTTTTTATCCTAAACTTTCAATACTCGCTCATTACAATCAATCAGTGTTTTGTGCTTGACCAGCATGCCAATAGCAAAGCTTGGTGGTACTTCTGGCTGCCTGGGACTGCACCTATTGGCCTTCCCATCCCGCTGTCTCAGCCTCCCTCATTCATTTTTTCTCCCACTGCCTCTCCACTGATTGCCTCTGATTCATCGCAAATTCCTGCAGGCCCCCTTCTTGCCTCTGGTTCGTTGCAAATCCCTGCAGGCCCCCTTCCAAGCCAGCCTGAGGAGGGCACATGCACCATCCCTTCGTGCCACAAAGGAACACCTGCAAGGGGTCCACTCTGTGAGAACTCAATATGCAAGTACCACTGCATTGAGAATGGTGGCTGTACGACGGCTGTCAAGCACCGAATAGAGTTTGCGAGCAAGTGCCAAAAGGGAAAGATGAGGCTGCCTCCATCATCGGTACTTGATGCACTGCCTGCACCTGTCACTGTGGAGGAGGAGCCTGAATTCGAAGAGGTCAAAGACTTCAGCTTCAATGCTGACCTCGAGCTGGCACGATCACGCTCTCTTGAGGACCTGATGCCTGCGCCATCTGTTTCCACCGCTATGTCCTCCTCTCCGCTTGTGACACCATCCTCTCAGCTGCCTGCCATGCGGACTATCTCCAAGGATCCCAAATCAGTCACCCAGCCATCAGGGAAAAGCTCAGCCAAGGCCAAAGCTCAGTCAAGGCCACAGCGGACCACTCATATGAACGAGACATGGTATGGTACCTACAAGCACAGTGGGCAGCTGACTGAGCAGATGGAGAAAGACTGCCAACATGCTGCTGATGAGCTGGCCATCAAGCGTGCCATAGATGTGATGTGGTGGGACAAGGACCGTCAACCTCCTGTCATCTTGTCGCTGCAAGGCAGTGATGGGCCTGAGTCTGACATTCCAACCTGGCCGCACTTCTCGCTAGCTGACAGTCCTGACCTCCGATCTATGCTTGGCGAGAACATCACCACCTTTGAGTATTTCAATATTTCTTCTCGTCTATGGAAGGCAGTGACACGACTGGCCTATAAGTTCCATGTTAAAAATGGTGACCATCTTTTCCTTCGACGTCATGGTGTCCTTGAATGTGCAGGCATCGACAAGATCATTGGTCGTCTCAAGGACCCAGCAGCAAAACCGCATCTTTTTCTAAAGATGAAGCAAGAACGTAAGGCTGTAAAGTATTCTCTAGCGCACATCAAGACTCATGGGCCACCATTGCAAACTCCCTCTATCATTGCAAAGTCTAACACTGATGATGAAGTCACCATCATATCGCTGCCTTCAAAACCATCCCTGAAGTGCCACTGAAGTATGGCAGAAAGTGATACTAAAGAGGAGGCCAGGCCTCCCAAGAGGTCATGGTGCTATACCGATGAATATGGCATCCGTGACTTCCGTCCTGTATATGATGACTCACCTGTCAGGACAGCAATTGCAGCTGGATTCCGTCCCAGTTACCCATACCCTTGGGGTCGTTCAGTATCTCCACTGCCACCATTGCATCAACTCATGACACCTCACCTCCCATCACCAGCATCCTCGAGCTCATCTCTGCCAGAGATACTGAGTGAGCCTCTTGCTGACGAGTTGCAGCCATCAGTGCCGACGGCAACCTGGCCCAATGGTCTCTATGTTATAGACATTGCTGCTGGGTTTGAGAGAATGGACTCTGATGAATTGAAGTCCTTACCAGTCCGTCAGAGGTTTGAGATCATCTACGACAGAAAATTCAAGAAATCAACTTATAACAACACACGTCGGAGATGGAAGGAGGCATTGGATACCTTCAGGACTCAGCTGTATAAGGCAGGGCGCACACCTTCAGGCCTTTGGGATGTGTTGCGCAAGGCCATCCCTCTCAGGAAAAAGACAGCAGGCACCCAGTCACACGATGATGAAGAATCTGACATTGATATTGACCTCACGCTGTAAGATACACACTTTCTCATTCATTTACTACATAACCGTCTTTCGTCTTTGTATGTTACTTGCATTTGTTACCTGTCTTGCATTTGTATGTTACCCATCCATCTTGTATTCCCTCGAGCATGTTCACACATATTGTACCTGTCCCTCCAACTACTACTACCCTTCAAAATGTATATTGTGCGCAAGCTCTTCTCGTTCAATGCCTATTTCGCCTGCTCATCCAGCTCCATTGTCTGCTCCGCTTGACTGGGATCTCATTGATTTATGTTGTGAACCAACTATCAAGATCATGGAAGGCTCAGTATCTTCCAGAAAGCATCAGCCCCTTGATGTCCCCGACAAAGTTCAACAATCAGCCAGCGGCTTAAGGAAAGTAACCGTGTTAATAAGAAAAACATCTTCAATACCCATCCTTTGTCATCAAAGGCAATATCTTGTGCCATTCTTTGACAATGGACACCTGAAATCCCAAGCGATTTGAAGCATCGAACACAGACCGTGCTTCAAATGTACCATCTCGTCTTGATCTGTTTGCTGCAACTGGAGGTCCTTATGATGTCTGTGCCTCAAACAGGCTTGAAGGGTCCAGAGAGGTAGGAAAAGAAAATAGTCATTGGCTTATGTACCTAGTTGTACATGTCACGACTGCGGTAGGTGTGGCAGGACCTAAACATGAAGGCGGAGCATAACGTGGGTTTAAGGCCCTAAGCTGAAGGCTTTGAACAGTAAAAATATTATGAAGGCGGATCATTTCATCCAAGAAGAAATTATACTTGGTGGGAAGCATCTCCCTGCAGATTGCATGATAGCTACCAAGCCAAACATTTATTTGCTTGGCAACTGACATGTTGAACCACCAACCCGTCCCATCTGCATTCAAAAGCTAGGGGAAGTCAGCCGGGTTGCAGTAGTGTTGGCAGTAGTCATGCTTTGTCTTGTGCTTGTTCTTGAAATGCCACACGTCAACACACATCTTGACATCGGCCCACCACTTGTCCCCTCGGGCATCCACTTGTTGCTTGGCATCACATGCAGTGTCGTAAATAAAATGCTCTGGTTTATGAGCACCCTGCACGGAGAAGATTGTCTTTATAAAGTCCTTGGAGAGGCAGTGAGTTTCATGAGTTCTGAGAAACGAGGAGGATGAGAGATTCTTACAAGGACATTAGACACAGCTTCTGCTCCATTCAGCGTCACTCATCCCACAATGACCCCACATGTGCGAACAGCAGTTTGCTCATTATGAGTTCTCTGTCGTCCAAACTGCGCACGGAATTTTCTATTGCTTGCATCAGACTTTGCATTGCATGGCTCTGAGCTAGTCAGAGCTATATCACCGAGTCCCTCGTCCCCTTCTTCAAGTACTCCGACAGAGCCAGGGTTCTTCTCAAACCGATAAGACACTTGACCGTCCTTGACTGTGTACCACTCGATATTCTCTTCAACCACTGCTGGACCCAGGCTCACACTTGCATCTGGCAAGTCAGCAGTCGTCACATCTGGAGCTTCTGTGCCCAAAGCATCATCTGGATATGCCACTCGGTAGCAGAGCAGCCGCTCAGACAATGCAAAGGCAGAAGTTGCTTTTGCATAGTGGAGTTGCTCCATTTGCTGGTGGTCACGATTGTCGCATGTCTTCACATCATTACATCTGATTGGGTGATCGCACCCAGTGATAGCGCATGTGTTATGCAAACCACAATGTTCGGCACAGAAGCGGTCACAGTTATTTTGTAGAGGCTGTGTGCACCGAAAGACACCACAACATGCGTGGCCTAGAGTAATTCCGTCACTGACAATTGGCTGGCATTTTTCTGTAGCATAGATCATTGATGTAGTACATGATACACATTACGGGGGTCACTAACCATGTGAAATCTTCCCATCTGAGTGTTTCACTTCATAAACACGCATGCACCCATCACAGATATGGTTAATTTCAGGTTGCCCAATATGCACAATGCACTCGTTCCTCTCTTCCATTGCTGCTTTAAATTGATCCTTTTGCATGCCTTGGTGTGGCACAGTCAGGCACACTGTATGTTCATCATAGTCCCGGAGCAGCGCAAGGAGCACAAACACATCCCAGACATTTTCAGTGCTGAGTTGGAGCTTGAAGGGCCACGCGATCTCATCAAAGGCTTCCCTAGAGATGCTGGCAAGAAAAAGCATGTAGATGCGGGCACAGTTCGTAGCAGAACACCTTGATAAACAGAAGTGTAAGCCTCACAATCACACACGTGCCACAATCACTTACAAGCCTAACAAATGCTGATTGGTCCAGAGCTTCACAAGACGGATGTCTACAAACTGATGTTCCGCCACTTGAAGGTAGTCTGGGACACCTGGATAATATGTGCGATGCTGAGCACTACTATGCACAACATAGTTGTAATGATAGTGAGATGACATTCTTAATTGACAAGAGTTAGCACAATGACTTGAGTCAGACTCAGAGATTAAAGAATTGACTTACTCTCGCAGCTCAAGTGAACGGCCCATGCAGGTAGAGTGCCTTGATCAAGTGTATATTCTGCGAATTGATTAATGAGGGGAAAGTCATAATCTACCTCAATGACATCATGACCTTTACCAAATCCTTGGAAGAACATTGTCACATCACTCATCATGTCCTTGAGATCCTTCATCAAAACAAACTTTATTGAAGCCTGAAAAATGTGAATCCGAGGTAACAGAGACTAAATATCTCAGTCTTATCATTTTAGAAGGGCAAGTCAGAATGGATCCTGTCAAAGTAAAAGGTATTCTAGACTGGCCTATCCCAGAAATGAAACACAAATTACAAGTGTTTTTGAGATTTGTGAATTTCTATTGGCGCTTCATATGAGGATATGGAGATCTTGCAAAGCCCTTGACAGTTTTGACAGGGAAAGCTGATTGGTCCTGGGGAAGTGAGCAGCAGGATGCATTTTTAGAGATAAAATAACATGTCTCTTCAGCACCAGTGCTCACAATTCCCACTGATGACAAACGTTATCGGATAGAAGCTGATAGCTCAGAACGAGCTGTCGGTGCAGTCTTATCCCAGTGCCAAGCCAGCACCTGGAAAGCAATAGCATTTCTATCAAAAACTCTCTCTAAGACAGAATGAAACTATGAGATCTATGATCAAGAGTTACTTGCTATTATGACTGCATTGTCGGAATGGCAACATCACCTAATGGGGGCTGCCAAAGACTTCAAGGTTTGGACAGATCACCAAAATCTTGAATATTTTTGTAAGCCTCAAAAGCTAAATTGTCGTCAGGCCCGGTGGGTGACAGAGTTAGCAAATTATCATTTCACCCTAGATCATAAACCTGGGAGGACACATGTGAAAGCTGATCTTCTGTTGAGACAAGCAGACCATGAGTCCAGGGAGAATAACAATGAGGATGTCACCATCTTGAAATTGGAATATTTTCATCAAATAGAGTTAATCACAGAAGATAACAATTTCCTTACTTGTGCTTGTCAATGACGAGGTAATTGAGATCGAGTGGTTGACAAAATGCTTGCCTCTAAAGAGGTGAGCTGGACAGAAACTGGGGACTTGATTCTTTGAAAAGGAAGGGTGTACATTCCCATTAATCATAAACTCTGGGAAGATATTATCCACAAGCATCATGATTCACGTCTAGCAGGTCATCCAGGACAGTACAAAACACATGAACTCATCACTCGAGATTATTGGTGGCCTTGTATCTTGTCAGATATCCATAACTATATGCAGGGTGCAAGAGCTGTCAACGTACAAAATCCCAGACTCTCAAACCAGCTGCTCCACTTCATCCAAATGAGATTCCTTTGGAACCCTGGAAACAAATTTTAATTGATCTAATAGGTCCTCTCCCCACATCAGCAGGGTACAATGCTATACTGGTGGTAGTGGACCAATTTACCAAAATGACTAGAGTTATCCCGACTTATACCAAAATCTCATCTTCAGGAGTAGTGAGAGCACTGTGTGACCATGTCTTTAGGCATCATGGATTATCTCACAAAGTGATCAGTGATCATGGATCAAATTTCATGTCAGCATTTATGTGCGAACTGTATTGGCAGCTAGGAATTGTCAGGAATGCAAGCACAGCCTATCACCCTCAAACTGATGGTCAAACAGAACACCTGAATCAAGTAGAACATTACCTTCACATTTTTATTAACCATCATCAAAATGACTGGGCTGAATGGTTAGTGTTAGCTGAGTTCTCATACAATGACAAAACTCAAACCTTTTGTTAGAATAACTGAGAGTTCAAAGTCAATGCACATGATATTATTGTGTGAATAAGTAAAGTACTATACCTGAGAGTTCAAAGTCAATGCATGAAGCATGTAAGACTTGTGAACTCTGCACTATGGGCGAGTCTATGTAAACAAATATAAACAATTCCTAGTATGGTATGTGTCCTCGAAGTGTCTTAGAGGTCTGTCCTCAAAGTGTCCTCGAAGTCCTCGAAGTTATCTACTAATATAGTAATGTCCTTGAAGTGTCCTCAAAGTCCTTGAAGTTATCTACTAATATAGTAATGTCCTTGAAGTGTCCTTCAAGTCTTCGAAGTCTTAGAAGTCTTCGACCTATCTAGTGTGAAGTCACCACACAACTAACACCTTTATGGGTTAATCCCCTTTCTTCCTTAATCAAGGTCATCACCCATGGAAGGGAACTAGTCACCATCAAGAGGCTAAGGTTGAAGCTGCTCAAGAGTTTGTGGACTGCATGAAAAATATTTGAAGGGAGGCTGAGTTGGCATTGAAGAAAGCGGCGGAGGATATGAAGTGTTACTATGATCAAAAGCGAAGTTTTTCTCATGAGTTCAAAGTGGGGGAGAAAGTATGCCTTGAAGCTACCCATATCTCGTCGGATCGTACAGCCAAGAAACTCAATGACAAATGGTATGGTCCATTCCATATTCTATTAAAACATGGTGAATCTTCATTCAAGCTCGACTTGCCAAAAACATGGAAAACTATTTATCCAGTCTTCAATGAGTGTGTACTTTCCCTATATGTTCCTGCCCAATTCCCCTCACAAAAGAGATCCCTACCTCCACCTCCTGATCTTATTGAGAGCTGTGAAGAGCAAGAGATTGAAGAGATTCTGGATTCATGTCTTCAAAGAGATCAACTTGAATATCTAGTGCATTGAAAAGATTTTCCACAAAAAGAATGAGAATGGCTGAAAAGATCGGAACTACAACATGCACTGGAAGCCATTGCTGAATTCTACTGAAACCATCCTGCAAAACTACAACCTATGCCCACAATGAAACTTCGCTTCCGATGTATTGAGAATTTCACTGTACTGAATCATATCCCTCACTACCTGTTTAACTGGGAGGTCGGAGTATTTGAGGGAGATGAATGTGAGTGGCCTAAGAGAACTAGATGTATAAGAAGAGATGAAAAGTTTTTTAATGCCTTGGATAATCAACTGTGGCTGCGAGATGCAGCCTTTGAGGAGGGGGTAATGTTATGAATGCTTTGCATTTCAGTCACAAGACTTATTGTGTATGCATGTTTGCTCATTGTTATCTAGTCAAAGTCTGTCGATCTCTTTCTTTCTCTTCTAACATTGTGCTGGTCTTTTCTCTCGGCATTCAGGTCATTGTTAGTGTGTTTAAGTTGCACCTCGATTCTGAGATGTCTGACACATATCAAGAAAGGAAACAAAAATAGGGAAATAGTACAACCTATCAAGATAGCAAATATAGGTAAGTGTTCATGCTGCACATGTTGATAGTAACCAAGATACAATCAGAAAGAAGAGAAGTGCGGACAGCCCACTTGATAAGAGGAATAGCCAAGTCTAGAGGAGTCTAGAGTTGGCGCTAAGGTTACAAAAGAAGAAAATAGATATAGAGTTAAATGTTATTGTAACACTGACACCATGTTGATTAGGATATACGGGAACACCACTAGGCTGTCGCTGAGAGCCTTGGGACCTGTACATTGTAGATTGGAGTGTGGGATGTAGAGAACAAAGAAAAGAGCAAGTAAGAAGCTATGGGCAAGCAGATGGCAAATCCTAGGAAGCATATGGACCTTATTTATATTCTTTGCAGAGTCTAATTAGATACATTTCTTATGTGTATGCAGACATAATTCAGATGTCTGTATCAGATGTTCAACTCTAATCCCACAATCATATTAGCTACTAGGGCTGTAAATCTACCTCTGCATCATTTATCCATGCAGTATCTGTTTAGACTACTCTCTAGTCTAACACTCAGGGACATATATCCAGGCAATAATGCCATTATGATGTATTATATTACTATAATGGTAGAAGGGAGGTTATATATCCTGGTCTATAACACCATGTGTGAGAAGATGATACATCAATCATAGCGCTGTGATGTAACACCTGTCTGTTAGTTGTGTGGTGACTTCACACCAGATAGGTCGAAGACTTCTAAGACTTCGAAGACTTGAAGGACACTTCAAGGACATTACTATATTAGTAGATAACTTCGAGGACTTCGAGGACACTTCAAGGACATTACTATATTAGTAGATAACTTCGAGGACTTCGAGGACACATACCATACTAGGAATTGTTTATATTTGTTTACATAGACTCGCCCATAGTGCAGAGTTCACAAGTCTTACATGCTTCGTGCATTGACTTTGAACTCTCAGGTATAGTACTTTACTTATTTACACAATAATATCAAGTGCATTGACTTTGAACTCTCAGTTCTTCTAACAGGTTATGAGCCCTGCGCTTTAGCAGTCAAATCTGTCGCTGGAGTTCACTGTCTTTGGGCCAACTTAGTGCGCATTTTCCCTCCTCTCGCATCCAGCCACTGGTGCTCTCCCCACCCATTATCCCTTGCTCTCTTTGTTGAAAATCAGCAAAGACAGCCTTTCCTTCAAATTCTACCAAGCCCTTGCCCTTAATTCGTCCCACTGCTGCAAAACTGCGCCGTCTCCTTCGCCATGTCCTCAGAAGACTCGAAATCTATTCGCACTGTCACCAAACTCACTTCTACCAACTATGCTACTTGGAAGGGTGAGATGAAGGCCTATCTTCGAGTCAAGGGTCTCTGGTTGCTCGTCAATGGCATCGAGACTCGACCTACAGAGACAGAAGCTGCAGCAAAGTGGGACACCAAGGCAGACAAGGCAGCTGGGGAGCTGTATCTGGCGTGCTCTGTAGAGCAAAG